CAAATCAAAATGTTTGTCTCGATCCATAGCAACCTCTGAAACCACTGTTATGAGGCTTTCATATACAAAATATGGCTATTTTTGCTAAAAACCTCATTTCAGATTTTATTGAATTGCTCAATAGTTTCAATCAAAACACTTATTACAGTTAGCACCATCGGAAGCGCCTTGAAAAGTACTTCAAGAATGTATTAGGAAGCGTAGGGTGATTATCACAGTTCATATAGTCGAATACCAAAAGATACATTAAAGAAGTCGAAAAAAGGCGAAATCTGTCCAATCTTGAGCAGAAAAAAATAAGCTGAGGTTGAATTAATTTTGGCGGCGGCATTGCTGATGGCTGACCTAAATGCTTTTCTGTTGATGATAATGATGATTGCGATGTTGATTAAATGAGGATCATGGAATTGAAAGGGTAATTGCTTAACCGAAGCACTTTTTTTGGTGCTTTTGTTACAAGCGAGCCTTTTGCAATGTCAACATCTCAAAAAAAAAGTCGCTGTAAATCTTACACAAGTCCTTTATTTACTTATGACCAGCTTTATGTCGCCATCTTATTAAGAGCATCAGCAGCAGTGAATGATATGACAATTCTATTATCAAAAAATGGCATTTGTGATATACAAATACTGCATAAAATTTGAATTTCTTTCGCATTGTCCCAAAAATAGGCTTTGTTTAATATCAGCGTAAGCAAAAAGGATATTAAGGGAAATACCTCCTCTCCTCCTCCTGGCTCTGATACAATTTTTCTGTTACTAACTAATAATAAATTGTTTAAAATCTACTTGATATACCAAAATGTTATAATGTCTGATTTAAAACGGCTTCAATGAGAGCCAGCAGGGCGACGCCGACATCGAGCGTAGCGAGATGAATGGGCAAGTAATAAATACTGGAAGCTTTGAACATAAAAGCGTCGTAGTAGCAAATTAGAGACTGCAAGCCCTTGTCCCAAGAACACACTGCATCTAATTTTAATAATGTTATACCTGCTATACTTAGCTGTGGATTAAGTGATTTGTGGTGTCAAGGCAACATTTGCTAACCTTGACCTTAAACAGGTATAATAACCCTAAGGAAGCAAACGTGAAAAGCCATAATAAAGCAGTAAATTTGGTTTCTTATTTTCATTTGATGCATTTCACATCATAATCCATTATATTGCACCTAATACAACCCATCAACATCCCATCGGTTTTTACATACACTACTAAACGCACATCAAACTACAGTCTACACGCACATCAAGACCCAACAAATAGTCAACTAGTAGGATGACTATTACTGAAACAATACCATTTAATTCAATGACATACAAGAGCGGTTACAATTACACTTAACTGTAGACTATCTACACATATCAATTACGACAATCTACTGGATCATCACACTTGTCTTTACACCTCAGGATTTGACATTATTCACAAAGATATTAATGGGACCACACAATTCATTCAATAAAGGATCGTCTTAATTTTGCACAGAATGATAAACTGATAATTTACTGATACATTCATTTGTATGACTTTAGTTATCTAGCACCTTGTTGAATATATCAGCTTGTAGCTCATAAAATTTATATTTTTCAGCAAATTTATAAAGAAAACGTACATCTGGTACTTGAAACCCTTACATTATGATGGATCTAATGTAGAGCTATTGAATGGTCTTTGTTTTGTGCGAATCCGGTTAGTATTTGTCGAGGTATGTTCAAAAAATGGTAGCATGCAAAATCATTGATTTTGCTTCAAAATCTGCCTGTGATAGCAAGCAAAAAATCTGGTGACCTTTTTTTGGTCAGGACAATATTGTCAATATTTCATGATAGAGTTATGCCAGAGCTTCAAGCAATAGCTCATTCGGTAGGATATGTTCTGGTCTACAATGATTAGTAATGCTTAACAATATGTTTTGATGACAGATTGTAGTTAATCTTTAGAAAGCAGTCAAAAAATCGCAAAAACAATTGTACCAAATATTTGGTGAACAATGTACACCAGAGACTTGATATAAATACCATTGTATTCTGCTTTGAATTCTCTACAAGTTTCATATAAGTTTGAAAGGGTGTTTACTATCAAGAATCAAACAGTTTTAGGTCGATAATAGATTTAGAAAACTCATGGACCATCATCCAGAACAATAAAGATTCAATCTCCGTTTGGCCTTCGCATGTGTACTGATGTATCATTTTCTAAACCGGATCTCCAAATGCGTAGAAACAAGCAGTTCAAGCACCGGTCACATCAGATCATAAACTTTGACATGAAACAGGATTCAGTTACGATCCATATCATGGCATGTTCAGGATAATGGATTGGATCTATTATCCTATCACCCAAATCAACCCATCTAATACCTTATCCTCACATCAAATCCCTCAATTCGAATAGTATATAAACCCTCTTATTTTCAATGTAATAAACAATATTCTTTACCTGATTAATTTCATATTCTTTTTTTATAAATAATTTATTTCTGATAAATTAGCTACTACTTTAGCAAAGCGATGTTTACGTTGTTGTTGCAGCTACATTTATTTATACTCAATCACCTTAATAAATTGCTACTTTCAAATTATTAACAAATATTAGATATGTCGTCGGTAAGTCTAAATAAAGTTGGACTAGATACTTTCAGTTATGTTGGATCTGAGCATGACTAAATGAGTTTGAGCGGATTTGACATCATGAATCTGTAATTTATATGGTGTATATAATGGGTCTGATTGTTTATAATCTCTATGACATTCGTTGATCTGCAAAATACATGGCCACTGGTACTATTAGATCCGGTAGTAGTCTACAATATGGTAACAATTGACTCTATTTTTTGTTTCTTGCTGTTCAAACCGTGCAATATTGATTAAGATTTATTTATTAAAAAAAAATGCTACAATGAGAATTAGCCTTCATTAAATTTGGGGTATGGCAGAAGCAGCTTTATTAGCTCGATTGACAGATCGCCATCATAGCCATATCGGCTGTTGATATGGCACTACGACCCAGCAAGTATTCTCGAGAACATAGATGTCTTTATGTAGAATCCTATTTGATGCTTTCAAGTGAGCACCTTGACCTTCTCAAAGAAAAATGCTCTCGTATGAAAACATCGAAATTTTTAAATATTCGTAACCCAAAATTTTATACATTTATATGCGTCGGTAAACGGTATAATAAAAGCGAGAAGATCAACGACTAACTTCAGTAAAATACATGTTTGACCCACATGTCGTCGGATAGCTGCCTCACGTCTTTAACTTTCAGTCGATGGAAGGATCTGCAAATCGAAGCCGCTTCCCCCTTCTGACGGCCGCCTCTTACGGAAACAAGTGTCAGAGACGAAGCGGATTGCTTTCTCGCCCAAGGAGAGCGGTATGCTTAGCTATCACTTGATCTACTTTCAAAAAATAGCAGACCATAAAGTGCTTGGCTCGTCAACAGCATCGATGAGTGTTGTCAGTGTGGAATTTGAGGCTTAATAAGACTAAATTTTACAAAAAAAAGAATAAAAAAAAAAGTAAAGTCAACTTGATAAAGGTATATTTAGTATCAAACTGACAGGTGTAAAGTAAACTGAAGTGTAATGAAATAGCCACCCAGACGTAACTTAATTGAAAACCAAAGTTTATCAAATAGCACTCATTCAAATTCATGCTATTTGGATCTATTAATGAAAGCGCTCAAATGTACATCAAAAACCCATTTAAAAATACTAAAGTAAAGATGCATGCTTATATCGCACATCATGTGAATGAATCATCACTCCTGATCACAGCGTATTCAATCACACCCATGATGGTCGTAATAAGTGATGATATCTTTATCCAAATAGAATCAAATCAATAACAAGCATATTCAAATGTGACAACTATGCCCTGCTGTCATAGTTGCACAATATCCCAAATAAAGGATTCCATACTTCAATAACAAACATCACACTTTAAACCATCAAGGTTACATTAAATCATGCTATGACGATAGCTCACCCAAGCCCATCAAGGTTACTCAAATCGACCCTTATGGCCAGTGCTCTTGCATTGATTACCACTTTAAATCAAACATCAACAACATTTGCCAGATATCGCAATAGCAGAACCTATTGCTCTCTATCATCACTAATCTTACAAGCTAGTTGCAAATGTACAAATACTCTTCTTTTTTTACTCAATTCCAGGATCTTCAGTTCATTTTATACACAAATAAAATACTGTTGATTTCTATTGTATTTTACTATTGCTTTATTTTTTTTGTGAAATCTATTCAAACCGGATTTCACTGCATGAAGTATCTCTACTGGCTAGGTAGATGATCCTTCTTATATGCTATAACCATGGATAAAAGTTCTATTAATTAGATTGACAAATAAGTCAACTCAGATCAACTAATGTCTAATCATGCTAAAAGACAACTCCAGCAAGCTAATCATAATTTAGCTCTGTCTAGATGAATAATTAGACTCTCATCCGAAGTACCCTGATCTATCGTTTCTATAAGGATAATTAATATCGATCTAGTATCATGTATTATCCGATAGGTACAGTCTACGTAGTCTATATCAGTAGTATATATCTGAGTGTATATTATCGCTGAGCATACATCTTTAGCATGTATTTGGATATATGGCATGTCTATAGCATATCGTATGCATGTCTATAGCATGTCTCATATATAGTACAAGTCTGTAGTACATAAATATCTGTAGCTAGTATCACGGGTATAAGCATGTGTCTTATACCGTGGATCATGAAGTGCACATCTGAAGCAACAAGCTCATATTGAATTAATCTTGGTGCTTATCCAGTTATGGTAAACATCCGTAGTCAATGTCGGAATACAAGTATAAGTCTATAGCGCCATTCATGTCCGTGGTGCCATCTATAGCCTATATCTTATATAGTATAAATCTTATAGTACTAGTAGCGTATCTGCAGTCCATATCTTCTTACAGTATAAATCGATATCGTACATCTAATCCAGTGTACATATAGTTTATATCTAAATCTGGTAACTGGACGAACTGTCGGAATGCAGATCATAGTGGATGTATTCCACAGGTACAATTCTTTCCCAGTTGTCATGGATTGATAGACGATGAGCTTGCAAAACCAGTTCAAAATGATCGAGACAATCGTTTGGTGTTGCGAATACAGCTCTACGCTTCTTGAAGAAGTGTCCACGCCATTGAAAATAGGGTGTTTCATTTGGTACCAAGGTACTCCCTGTCTTTCCAAATACCAATTCATAGGTGCGTTCAGCCATCTCAAGTTGATTACGCAAGACACCAAGATTTGAAGGTATGATTGATCCTTGTGGACATCCAATGCTTTGAATAATAGTTTTGAAAACCATTAGCCTCAGCCGTTCAATTTCGTTCATCAAGGTCAATCTTTCATCACTTGAGATTGGGGTGGCAAATTCTATATCCACATGGTTTGTAAGTACATCATTATTCCCTCTACTAACATTTTCAGTATTGTAGTTACCTTGAGGTACTGGAATATGATAAAAGGTGGTAGATGCATTGTCAACGTTCGCATCACCTACAGAAGCAGCAGTATTCCCGTAAATATTACTACTAGCACTGACACTGCCTGTTTGACTCCCATGAATCTCAGCAGGCACAGAAAAATTACCAGATGCATCACCATTGATACCATCGGTTGAAACAGACGTTCTAGGTAAATCCCTATGGATAATACCAACGCTGGAAGAACTAGCAGATGAACCACCATTGATTACATCTTGACTAGCAGTGATGATAGGATAACCAATCTCCATTAGAGTGGCAGCAATTGAGCCTTGAGCATCAGTACCGACAGGAGCAGCAGAAACTACCTGATTGGCAGCAGTGAGAGTTTGATCGGTAGAGGTAATAAAACCAACAGCAGCAACAGTAACCTAACCAGTATTAGTTTCATCAGGAGCTTTTTGATTGACGGCCTTGTGATTGAATTTCTTTGGTGACATAGTAAGTAAGACTTGATAGCAGTAAGAGATCCAGAGTAGATAGATTTGTAATAAACGAGATTTGTTGAATACAGATTAAAAAGTGATTCATCAGAAATAAATTATTTATAAAAAAAAAGAGTATGAAATTAATCAGGTAAAGAATATTGTTTATTACATTGAAAATAAGAGGGTTTATATACTATTCGAATTGAGGGATTTGATGTGAGGATAAGGTATTAGATGGGTTGATTTGGGTGATAGGATAACAGATCCAATCCATTATCCTGAACATGCCATGATATGGATCGTAACTGAATCCTGTTTCATGTCAAAGTTTATGATCTGATGTGACCGGTGCTTGAACTGCTTGTTTCTACGCATTTGGAGATCCGGTTTAGAAAATGATACATCAGTACACATGCGAAGGCCAAACGGAGATTGAATCTTTATTGTTCTGGATGATGGTCCATGAGTTTTCTAAATCTATTATCGACCTAAAACTGTTTGATTCTTGATAGTAAACACCCTTTCAAACTTATATGAAACTTGTAGAGAATTCAAAGCAGAATACAATGGTATTTATATCAAGTCTCTGGTGTACATTGTTCACCAAATATTTGGTACAATTGTTTTTGCGATTTTTTGACTGCTTTCTAAAGATTAACTACAATCTGTCATCAAAACATATTGTTAAGCATTACTAATCATTGTAGACCAGAACATATCCTACCGAATGAGCTATTGCTTGAAGCTCTGGCATAACTCTATCATGAAATATTGACAATATTGTCCTGACCAAAAAAAGGTCACCAGATTTTTTGCTTGCTATCACAGGCAGATTTTGAAGCAAAATCAATGATTTTGCATGCTACCATTTTTTGAACATACCTCGACAAATACTAACCGGATTCGCACAAAACAAAGACCATTCAATAGCTCTACATTAGATCCATCATAATGTAAGGGTTTCAAGTACCAGATGTACGTTTTCTTTATAAATTTGCTGAAAAATATAAATTTTATGAGCTACAAGCTGATATATTCAACAAGGTGCTAGATAACTAAAGTCATACAAATGAATGTATCAGTAAATTATCAGTTTATCATTCTGTGCAAAATTAAGACGATCCTTTATTGAATGAATTGTGTGGTCCCATTAATATCTTTGTGAATAATGTCAAATCCTGAGGTGTAAAGACAAGTGTGATGATCCAGTAGATTGTCGTAATTGATATGTGTAGATAGTCTACAGTTAAGTGTAATTGTAACCGCTCTTGTATGTCATTGAATTAAATGGTATTGTTTCAGTAATAGTCATCCTACTAGTTGACTATTTGTTGGGTCTTGATGTGCGTGTAGACTGTAGTTTGATGTGCGTTTAGTAGTGTATGTAAAAACCGATGGGATGTTGATGGGTTGTATTAGGTGCAATATAATGGATTATGATGTGAAATGCATCAAATGAAAATAAGAAACCAAATTTACTGCTTTATTATGGCTTTTCACGTTTGCTTCCTTAGGGTTATTATACCTGTTTAAGGTCAAGGTTAGCAAATGTTGCCTTGACACCACAAATCACTTAATCCACAGCTAAGTATAGCAGGTATAACATTATTAAAATTAGATGCAGTGTGTTCTTGGGACAAGGGCTTGCAGTCTCTAATTTGCTACTACGACGCTTTTATGTTCAAAGCTTCCAGTATTTATTACTTGCCCATTCATCTCGCTACGCTCGATGTCGGCGTCGCCCTGCTGGCTCTCATTGAAGCCGTTTTAAATCAGACATTATAACATTTTGGTATATCAAGTAGATTTTAAACAATTTATTATTAGTTAGTAACAGAAAAATTGTATCAGAGCCAGGAGGAGGAGAGGAGGTATTTCCCTTAATATCCTTTTTGCTTACGCTGATATTAAACAAAGCCTATTTTTGGGACAATGCGAAAGAAATTCAAATTTTATGCAGTATTTGTATATCACAAATGCCATTTTTTGATAATAGAATTGTCATATCATTCACTGCTGCTGATGCTCTTAATAAGATGGCGACATAAAGCTGGTCATAAGTAAATAAAGGACTTGTGTAAGATTTACAGCGACTTTTTTTTTGAGATGTTGACATTGCAAAAGGCTCGCTTGTAACAAAAGCACCAAAAAAAGTGCTTCGGTTAAGCAATTACCCTTTCAATTCCATGATCCTCATTTAATCAACATCGCAATCATCATTATCATCAACAGAAAAGCATTTAGGTCAGCCATCAGCAATGCCGCCGCCAAAACTAATTCAACCTCAGCTTATTTTTTTCTGCTCAAGATTGGACAGATTTCGCCTTTTTTCGACTTCTTTAATGTATCTTTTGGTATTCGACTATATGAACTGTGATAATCACCCTACGCTTCCTAATACATTCTTGAAGTACTTTTCAAGGCGCTTCCGATGGTGCTAACTGTAATAAGTGTTTTGATTGAAACTATTGAGCAATTCAATAAAATCTGAAATGAGGTTTTTAGCAAAAATAGTCATATTTTGTATATGAAAGCCTCATAACAGTGGTTTCAGAGGTTGCTATGGATCGAGAGAAACATTTTGATTTGATATATGCCATAGTAAAAGTCTTTATTTTCAAGGCGGAAAATGCGATCCTTTGATTTTCGTAAAAAACCATGAGGGGTACCTCATGCTTTTTGGTTGATTTTTGGCCATATTTTTTAGGTTTTCAAAAAGTTGAGCAAAGATGTCAGGAAGTTACTACTACTCAAGTACAATTGTTTGGCGTCATTCCGGTGACTCAGAAAGGCCTACATGTCAAGATATGAAGGCTTGGAAACTGTCCAATTTGGTTATGTTTATGCTTTATAGCTTTTATTTACACGGCATGAACCACATCTTTAGTAGCTAAAGCCGTCTGGAAGGGCAGTTCTGCAACCTGTGCAGCTTGTAATTTCAACAGGAGACATATTGATTTTGTAAGACTAATTCATACGAATTTTGATGCCCTATGTTGCTGGTAAGCTTATTATTAACAATGCAAATGAGAACCCGAATTTGCTGCTTGAACATTATAGTCGTACACCTTTGCTTGGCTACGGTATATTCGATCAGGACTAATATCAACAAATGTTGAATTAGATGCAATACCACTACACTTGACGACGGTGTCACCCTGCGGGCTGTCGCCGTAGACATTCCAAATCATTAACAGTAATAAACACAGCTATAAATGTAGGTTTTAAACAATCCATTATTAATAAAGAAGGAGAGAAATCGAATTTACTACTAAGATACTACGATTTTGCATATTCGCTTCGCAACAATCAAGTCCTCGTATAGATCAATACTATGAAAGGCTGGACTGGATTATATGTGAATACAACACGTAGAAAGACATGGCTTACAAATTTACTGAGTTTATTAAAGATGCATGCATTGAATACCCCAAAGAGTAGCACACATTATTATGTTGCCTTTGTTGCAGAAGCGGGCCCATACTGTTTAATTTCATTAATAGGATGCTATCTATTGCACGGCATGAGATAGTAAAAAGATAACATACATGAAAAATTGTCTTTTAATACTATACGATACAATGTTTGCCACAATATTCATTAGATACTGTTTCTCAATCGCCTGATGACCGTGTGGAATATACAAAATAATCCAATCAGACTGCAGATAATAATCTTCATAAACTGCTACTGTAGTGGAATTAGGTTCTCGAAACTTTGTAGTACTATATTCGCTTTTACTATGCCATCGCGTTGTTGAACAGTTCGTAATATATGACTGTTATTTTGAATGTGTACTAGAGCTGATTCGTTTAAAAGTTACTGGCAGATAAATGTAAAGTTATCAAAAAGTTTCCGCATAGAATGTTACAAAGTGTTTTTTTATTTAATGGTGTTGTGAGTATAAGTAACAGATTTAGATAAATGTATATGTCTCAGCAGTATAAGTGAGAAAAAAAAATAACCTTTATTATTTTTGATATTCATATTAACTATAAAAGTTACTAACAAAGTCTGTGTGCACCTGTGTCGTGTGTATAGGTATAGTTTTAGAGTAGACTTAGATAAATGTATATAAAAGAATAGAATTGAGATATAAGATGATCTTTATTGTTTTGCAAACTAAGTTGATATTTATACTAAATTAAAAAAAGTTACACACAAAGTCTGTGTGTACCTAACACCTGACAATGAAAAAAAAAAGGGGGGGAGCTTGCTTCTTTTATACTGACGCTGAAAGCTCACGTCTGGGCCACACTTCTTTATATAAAGACGCTGATGGTCTCACGTCTGACATTTAACGAACATTGAATTCTTATATATGGTGAGAAAATCTTAGTATTGTCAAATTGTGGTTTTTTTTAAATATATCACATTTTCATGGGTAAGAATGTAATGAATTGAAAAGTTTGAAATTGATTTGATCGAATTGACTATTCCCAATAACGGAAAATAATTTAGTTAAAATGTAATGGCAGAAGGTTCTTTAAACTATTCCGGTAATATGAGTATTGCTGGTTGCTGGCTAGCAAATTCAGAGTGAATTCTTTTGGAGTTGTACTGTATAAACGTGCATTCAACTACTATCAAGGTAAGCTCTAGGCCATGGTATGGTATAGCACCACGGAGGTTTCATATATCGGATACTGGAAAATATGAACACAAAAGCGCCATCGTAGTTAATCAGAGATTAAAGGCTCTTCTTCCCAGAACATGGCGTATCTGATCAAGTGATTTCTTGTTTGCTATTTGGCTATGGATTGCGTGATATGTTGTTTCAAGGCAACACTTGTTGGTATAATTGGCCTTGAGGGGGTTATACCGTAGCCAAACGAAGGTGAATGGCCATTACAGTCCAGCATTTAATCCAACTTTTGTTAGCATTAATTTATATAAGGTTTTATCTAGGGAGGCGAAGGTGCAATACCAAAATAGTATTCAAGCATCTGGCCCAATACATGATAACAGCGATTTTAAAGGTGGCTTTACCGTAGCGAAGCCAAAATGTAAAG